CCCCCTAGGATTGTTCTATACCGAAAAAATTATACCCCTGTCGTTCAAAGCGCTCAAAGTATTCCATGTATTTGATATGGCGAAAAAACAAGTTGGTATAGAATTTTTGAAAATCAATATTTTTTGTTCGTTTCTCTTCAGGAGACTGCCAATAATAATACCCAATTCTTTAATATAAAATTTTTTCACAAACTGAATATTTACTGTTACGGAAAAAAGGCAAAATGAATTTTATCGTTTGCTTTGTTTACACATTTGAGTTCCTACAATTTCATCGCAAGGGACACTGGGCCGTATGAATAAAAACTAAGCCATTGCTTTTTCTTAAAATGTCATACCTTTTACTTCAATTTTGTTTGAATAAATTGAGTAAAAGATCTGAAATTTTAAGAAAAAGCAATTGCTTATTTTTATTCATACGGCCCACTGTACTGTGTACACAACTTAATTGTAAATAGCTGCTCGAACTGTACTTTTAACCAAAGTTCCATCGGCACTTGCTACAACTGAATGCTAAAAAATCAGCTTCTTTCCCTCACCAAAATTAGGTGCAATCTGCCATTATGCAATTGCAGCTGCAATCACTAAGTGCAGCGTGGCTCGTCTAGCGGGTCTTTTTTGAAACTCGTGCTTTGTCAATGGGTTATAAGATTTAAAAGCGTACCAGAAAGTTGAAAAACAAACACCTAACGGTGCTTATATTCCTATTGTATGCACTGGTATAGAAAAAATTGGAACTGAATTCGAAATTGCCATTTTAACACCGCCAGCTTATACGGCCTTATGGATTCACGCTTTCGAAATTATTTAATTTTACCGTTTATCTCCTTTCAAATTGCTGACCAGATTTTGATTTATCACTTTTGCTTATCATAACTTTTGCACTTCAGTTTTTTTTTATATAAAATTTCAGTATTTGATTAAAAGTTTTCGTTTAGCAATTTTTTTCTCTCCAATAACTAGGTTTAAAACGCACGACGAGTCGAGGAATATAACAACAGATTTCGAAACTTACCAAAAATCTCCCTAATATGAAGATTTTGGCACTGAACGTATTCTAGTCAAGGATTAAATTTTACTTTTTTCTCATTCTTTAAAAAAAAGACGCAAAAAAATACCAAATAGTAGCGCCAATGTGGTCGTTTTAGTTTGTAGAGAATTGAATGAGCTTAAACTCTGCATCCACGAAGACAACTTGTGGACAATCTAGTAGATGCGCCAAACAGTTAAAGTTGAAAATATGTTGAGCTTATTCTGCTGATTGACAATGTTTATATTTAATTGACTTAAAATTCAGTTTTTTCAAAAAATCCTGAAAGTACCGGCACTCCTTCGTTTATAAATTTCCAAATTATACAACATAAAAACTATCGCAAGCGCCAATTCTTTGATAACTTTCCTCTCAGCATGTTCAGGAAAAATATCGTAAGCGCCATTTTACCTTTAGAAAATAAGGTATGCAAAAAATAAATAGTCCCATTAGAAAGTTATCATTCAATAAGGAGAATCAAAAAAACCTCTCCTGTAAAATTTACCTTTTGTCGCTTACGATAAAATCATAATCAAAGGCCAATTTGTCCTAATGTATGCATAAAACTTCACATTTTAGGCAGCCGTACACAATGGATGCATATACGTTTTAGGAGGGACTTCCGAAAATAAGACAGTCGAGCGTTATGACCCTCAAAGTGACAAATGGACAAAGGTTGGTTGAAATAGTTACACCAAAAATTTAAAAACACCAAAATACAATTTTTTATTACTTCTCATAGATGTGCTCTTTGAACGTTGGACGTGGTGGCATGGGTTGTGTTTTTGTAGGAGATCAACTGTGGGCTGTCGGAGGCTGGAACTCAAAGTCCGTGTCAGTTTATAATGCCGAATGTGATGAATGGGTCGTAAAGAAACCAATACCTGAACTTGGTGAATACAGGTGTTATGTTGTGCCTAAAACCTTACTTCTATGTGAATAAGAGATAAGGAAATTTACAAAGTACTTAGTTGAAGACTTACTAGAGATCAATGTATTTATTTTGCTAACGCAACTTTTAATTTTCACCTTATCTTGAACATGAATTTTAGTTTAATGGTTTCTATTACTTTAAAATATGTTTGCTTGTAAAATGCGTTTTTTAAATATCTAGTAAATATATCCAACAAAGTAGAAGTGATTTTGATAGTTCTCCCTTTTGAACTGCGACGGGAATATCAAATAAATAATAGATATTCGAAATCGTATTGAAGGAATTTTTTTAATCTATTTAACATTACATATCGATGGCTGAGTGGAAGATCGACTTATCTCGGCAGCCACTTCGAAGACGGACTATCTCAGAAAACTTTTCCAGAATGCCCTACCTCAGAATTTGATTGAGAACGCCCTATTTCAGAATTTTATTGGAAAACACCCCATCTGGTGGAAGAACGCCCTATCTCAGAATTCAGTTCAAAAACGCCCTATCTCAAACGAAAATATATTAGGGTTATTCTCGGAGTCTTGCACGTAGCACGGAATATATCAAATGCAAAAATACTATTCCAAATTTGTAAGAGTACGAGAGCCCCTCATCGCAAAATAGTAGCATGCATTGGTAGAGAACAGCGAAGTTCTGTATCAAATACAATACCAAGATACAGCAAAAAAAAATGAAGTGAGCGAAATTAAAGGAATGAGAGAAATATGTAGCAATTCCAACAACAAAACAACTAGCAAAGAGTCGTATTTATCTTGCTATGCTTTTTTGCAAAATATATACATACATGGGCTTCGACGTTGCATATTTTGCAGCGATAGGAAATGATGTTTCCCATGTATTTTGTTGTTGTGTATTTGCAAGTTGTATTTACAAGATTTCGATACTCCTATTGAAAATGTGCTGAGATAGGGCGTTTTTGAACCGAATTCTGAGATAGTGTCTTTTTCAATCAAATTTTAAAATAGGGCGCTCTTCAACCAAATTCAGAAATAGGGCGTTGTTGAAAAATTTTCTGAGATAGGGAGTTTTCGAACTGGCTGCCGAGATAGGTCGATCTTCCACACGGCCATCGATATAGTCGGCTACAAAGAGAGCTAAATTTGATCGTCACTTCAAAATTGTTGAATATGCCTTGGTTTTTAAGCAACAGCTTAGAATGGTAAACATTTTAATTGGTATTCACTTCAACCCGAAAAAAATTAAAAAGTTTTAAGTATTTTTATATAGGTTTTAACCGTTCAGAAAGGTTTCGAGGTTCTCCCAATTATAGGGAATACCATTAATTTCTTGACAAAAAATATAAATATATAAGAATTGTTGCTTAGTGCTTTAGTTTCAAATTAAATTTTTAGTTTACATTTATATTGGCTACTGCTACAAATGAAAATAAATCATTCTTTGTGTGCTTCTATTACCCAGCTTCACCCATTTGTTTAATAAATGAAATCTATTTTGTATAAAATTTAACGTGTTAGTAAATGTTTCGCGAGTGGGTTGGCTGAAAAAATCCTGACCCATATATTTTAAATTAAATATTCAAAAATATATATATTTTTTTTAATTTTGCACTAATTTTTTTAATGTACAAATTATATACCAATCGAAAGTATGCAGCCTATATAATGTGAAAACGTTGGGTTGTCTATTTTTTTCTGGCTTACCTATCGGGTTGGTAGATATGAACAGGTAAGTAATACTAGTAATATTCTCTCATCTGTTTAACACATTATATAGGCTTTATGCTTTCGATTAGTATATATGTAATTTGTTCATTTAACAAATGAGTGAAAAATTAGAAAAAATAATAATTTTTTAATATTTAATCAAAAATATACTGGCCAGGACTTTTTCAGCCAACTCACTTCCGAAATATTTCCTCACACGTTAAAAATTTACAAAATANATACTCATCTGTTTAACACATTATATAGGCTTTATGCTTTCGATTAGTATATATGTAATTTGTTCATTTAACAAATGAGTGAAAAATTAGAAAAAATAATAATTTTTTAATATTTAATCAAAAATATACTGGCCAGGACTTTTTCAGCCAACTCACT